TATATACCAACCACCCTGATCATTTAAGGAAACTATGCTTTGCAATTTTTCATTTTGTTTAAAAGTATATATTTCTCAAATGATTGGAGTGGCTGAAGATTAATCTATGGGGGCCAAGGCCACCAATGGCCACCCCCTGGCTCCACCATTGCACCTACCTCCACTCTGCAGGATCCGTCACTCTGCTCTGCCTCGGACAAGAAGAAAATAAACTCCCTCTGTTCTCCACGGTGTAACTCCTCCTCACTTGAATATAAAAACATTTAGGTTTACTGGCATTCTCTGTTCAGTATCAGTCCAGAAAAACACTCATCTCCAGAACTACAAACTTTCACTATTCAAATTCCTCAGTGATGGGGGCCATTGACATTGTTGTAGCTTAAGGGCTTTGTTTTCTGTCAGAGCTGGGGGGCAGGAAGTTCTGCTCCATGTCTTTTTTTTTTTTTTTCTTGCTTCAGGTACAGGTTTGATTTTCACAGCCTTGCATCACCCCCTGCTCGGAGTTTCTGCATAAATGAACGAGTGATAAAAGTGTCTGTTTAATCTATTGTCTAGCCATAAAACCAGTGACCTACTGTTTTAAACTTAATCTCACATTTTAGCTTTTGTTGCTTTTAGTTCTTCGAAATCTGCTTTTGTAGCTTCGAGTAAATGTTCACATTTCCCTTCAATGCTCTTTTTGTTTGTTTGAACTCTTTCGCAGTTATCCAGCTGTCTGCGAGTTCCTGCAGAGCAATAATTTATTATCCATCATCCGAGCACACGAAGCGCAAGATGCCGGGTATGTCTCAGCTTCAGCTCAAAAGAGGAAACGCTCACTTGCTGACTCAAATAAATATACGTAAACCGTTTTTTTCTGTTGTTGTTTTCTGCCTTTGGACCACACTTGAAGCTACCGGATGTACCGTAAGAGTCAGACCACTGGGTTCCCATCCCTCATCACCATCTTCTCAGCGCCTAACTACCTGGATGTTTACAATAACAAAGGTCAGCAATCTGTTCTTGTTGTTTTAGGCTTTCTTATTGACTTTGGAATCACAAAATCAAGGTCAAGGTTCTTTATTGTCATTCGTTCACATGTGGTACATGAGGTGGAAGGAAATTGTGTACACAGGGTCCCAGTTACATCCAGCAAAAGTGTAAATTGTAAAAGAAAACAATAATAAAGATCTAAGATATAAGCTAAGAAAAATGCTAAACTAAGAATACACTAAACACGTAATAGTGTAAAAACAACAATACACCGAACAACAGCAGCATGAACATGAGTCTGTGTGAGCAGATGACATGATCTTGTAAGTCAGATCTTGTACAATGTTATTATCGCCCCCTGCCGAAGGCCTAAAGTCAAGCCAAGACTCAAAAATGGCAACAACTCAGCCATTTTGAACTCATTTTTAAACTTGGTCTTTTTCCACACAAACTCTGAGCACTAGATGATCACCTGACATTTGTTTTTAAAACTTTGCCATTAGCTAATACAGTAGTCCCTTGCTACTTCACGGTTCGTTTCTCGCAGACTCACTCTATCGTGGTTTTTCAAAATAAGATTGGACATGACACACAGTTGGCTGATTGATGGATGGGCCTCACGATCGGCAGGTAATTTTTATTTAAAATAAATCATTTAAAATTTTTTAGCACCTGCTGCACATTTGTGCAGAGCACACTGCAGAAGAAACTTCCTCCTGCAGCTCCTCCTCCAAGTGGGCGTGGCCAAGAGTGCAGAGTACAGCCATGGCAGAGAGCTGAGTTCATGACATGCTTTGCTCTTTTAGAGCGTTTAGAGTTTAGAAACATTGTTTAGAATATTGCAAGAGTATGGGAAGGGTTTAAAATGCCTATATATATATATATATATATATAT